TGATTAGTGCATAGGAAGAAATTTGCTGTCATCAAATAAAAATAGAATGGCTGCCTGGCCGTAGTGTTTGCCTGTGTTTCTTTATTTTTTTTCAACTGTATTTGTGAGATCTCTACTTACCTCAGCTAATTGTACTTCAGCAATAAAATATCCATGTAATATAACAGGTCAGTCTAATCTGAAAAAAACCCAACAAAACCAAAACCCAAACCCCAGCTGGTTTTGCTGTAAGCAAATGAATGTAATCATCTTGGTTTTGAGGATTTTTTAATTTCCTAGAAGAAAATGTGAAGGTTAGTGAATTACTGTGTTCTTTATGTACAAACATGCAAGTTTTGAAATTGGAATAGCTGTTTAGGGTTCAAGTTTGACAAACAGCCGTATTTGCAATGTCCCAAATGGCTTTTGAGGGTATTAGGGTTGTTGTTTTTTTTTTTTTTAAACTGAAACAGGAATACTGGTAAATGTTGTACCAAAATGATGGTAAGTTCTGCTTTGTTTTTCTAACAAAAACAACTTATTTGAATAAATACAAAGTTTTTGCACAGTGAAAGGGTGTAGATGAGCTAAATAAGTGTTCCTCCTCTATTCTGTTTACATCTTCCCGTGCAATCTTAGCCCTTTTCTTCTGTTTCTAGGTAAATCAGATACCTTCACTTCTGTAAAGCAGAACAGAGCTGTGCTCAGGCCACCTGATTTCAAAAAGTGGGCTGTGTTCATGATGGGATATAAAGGCCCAGGACTGGCCTTTTATCAATGTATGTGGAAGTTTGTAGTAGGTATTTTGCATAGTTTCAAGGGGGGGAACATTATAACTGCACTGCAATAACAAGCTCATGTCTGAGAGTGAAAGAGGGTAGGAAATGGTAAGAAAGCATTTTCATTTAACTGTAGAAGCTGTTTGTAGATGGTTGGGGTGGGGGAAGTATGTCCAGATGTGTTTTCATATTGACAAAGTGCAAATAAAATCTGACTGTATAGTATTAGCTTAGTCTCTGCCAGCTGCTGTGATTACAGGTATCTTTGTATGCGCTATGTTGTACTGGCCCCTTGCTTTAGTCCTGTGGCCATCTGTAAGGGCCCAGAAGGGATTTTCTTCTCCTCCATCACTTGGTTCATAATATGTTCTGGAGCAGCAGCTAGAGGCAAGGTGAAGTACATAAGTGTCTTCATCATTTTACTGATACTCGTTTTTCAGGTGCCTGGTTGATGGATCCTGGAATTTAAGTAACTGCCTAGTTTGATGTGATTCCTTTCTGTATCTTTTTTTGTTCTGGTCCAGGCTTGTGGAGACTATTGCAATTCTGGTTTTGTGTTGGTGTTTTTTTTTTTTTTTTTTTCTTCTGTAGTACCTGTGTGATGTGATTCACTCTGTAGTATAATCTGTGATATACTGTCAACAAATGTCTTGCCATTTCAGGAATTTGCAGCCTTGATGCTGTTTGTCTGTATCCTCCTCACTTCCTTGGCATTATAGTTGTGACTTTTGACCTTCACCTTTGACCTTAAGTTGGGTAATATTTTGTGGTTTGTGTGGGATGGTATGCAGAATCGAGGTCTAGTTTGGTAGTGTTAGAAAACTTGTATGTTGTTGGAAGCTGGCTTCTTTGGTCAAGGTAGTCTTTAAGCTTTACCCCAGTCAGGAGGTGGTGTTGGTAAAGCCAGTGATAAGGTATCGTTCTGCAGAGAATAACAGAGTTTATCAGGCTTAAGTGAAATAGAAGCTAATGCCAGAATTCCTTTTCCTTGCAATTTGTCGATTAGGTGTCCCAAAGATGCATCCAGGATATCGCTATTTCAGTTTAATGTAATGGAATTGCATGTACAGTCCTAACCTTTTCAGCCAGCAAAGGCTTGCAAAGAGATTGCTAAAAGGGCAGCTCTTTATTCTTGAATCATGGCCATATTCTACTGGTGTTTGTAAGAATTTGCTGTAATAATTGGGCATAATATGCTACAGTAAGCTTATGATAGCACTGTGGGGTGACAAAAAGAGAATTGCCTGCCTGTTTTTAAGATCTGAAATAGTTTCTTGAAGTAGTTGCCTAAATTGCTTTTATCAGAATGTCTTAATCTAGTGCTTGATTAGACGACCTGAAAGATGGGAAGATTTCTTGTCACCACTTCATACTCTCAGTACGCAAAGCTGCAAGCAGGAATCTCACAGAAAACGGGGGGAAACTTGAGAAAAGGAAAATCTGATAATGAGAAAGTGTAACAGTAGACAAATTGCAGATCTTGTACCATAGAGTTCAAGTGGCAGGATTTTAACTCACTGGAGTTGGTCAGAGATGGGGAGAACAGGTATTAAGATTTTAATTTATAGAAAAATAAAGTAACAAAGGATTTTATTATAAGAGTAAGGATTTTTAGCAGGTTTTTTTCTGACATGCAAAATTATTGTTGAAGAGCAAGATGAAGATGGGACGAGAAACATAACTATTTAGTTCAAAATGAGTCACTCATTAAAAAAGCAGAGAGAAATGAATGCTTTTCTTGCACCTAGTTCCAGTTCTAAAGGTAGCCACATGCAAGATTTAGATATAGCCGAGCCGGTCCTGTTCCCATGTCTCATAGAAGTGTTTGCTCAGTAGGTGGAGTTTGTGAAACAAAGTCCATTTTAGAGCTGGTGACCGAGAGGACTAATAAAGAGCACCACTGCACCCAAGAGAACTCAGGATTTTTAGGGTATGCAGAAGCGGTTGGTTAAACCAGTTTCTCAAAGTGCGTGCTATTGGTACAAAGGTTCCCTCTGAAGGCATGATTTTATTTTTTTTCCCCTCCTTTCCTAATCAGCTAAACTTAAAACGTAAGTGCGGTGACACCACCATTTGGGTGACTGGAGGTCATGATGCAGGTACAGATTCCAAAACTGCCATCTCGGGTGGTGGTGGTGGTGAGGTTTCAATAATGAGATAACTCTTGGGGAAGGTTGAGGTTTGCATCTGCTGGGGGAAGATAATATGGAAAGGTAAGATATAAAGGCATAAAGTATTTGTTACTTGAGGGAGAAGTCAAGCGGCAAGAATTAGATAAAGGAAAACAATGGGAGTAGATGGAAAGGAAACATTTCACAGTGCGATTTTAGGTTTTTTCTTCTCTACAGTGTTACTGCCAAAATTCCCTCTGTTCCAGCTACATTTCTACCTTTTTTATAACCTAGTTGTCAGCTGGATCAACATAAAATTTAAACGGTCCCACTTGGAATAATATTTTTATGCCGTGCTAGAGGGCTTCAGATAAATTGTTTTACCATAAAGCAAACAGATTTTGTTAAATGTGTGTCCAAGGCCTTTAGTGTGCGAGCACTTGTTTACGGTGCTTGAAAATAGATAGTCTCCTGCAATCTGGTTTATTATTAACCTGGTCTTGGTTTCTGTATAGTTGGAATAGTTGTATGTGCTCAGCTTATAAAAACTCATGTATTCTACTGTTCAAATATTTGCAAAATTGGTATTTTTCTAACAGTTTCTTAAACTAAGCTTTTGGAGGAATGTGATGCTTGGCCACCTTCAAAAGCAGGAGCTGCTATGTTATTTTTGGTACAGGTTAAAGATGTATTTAATTTTCTGTTTATTAGCAATATAGCGCTATAGTACAGTATAAGGTCCTATAAAATGTGTGGGTTACTTTTACATGTAAAACTGCAGTGTTTTACATGACCTTTGTTACAGGTGATGTAATAAGCTGGTATCCTTGAACATGTTCTTAAGATCATGATTTTAGTTTTTCCCTCTTTAAAGAAAAACAATAGCCCCCATCATTTCCTCTCTAAACTTCAGCTTACTACACTGGTAACTTTGGACAAGTGAATATATTTGGCTTCAGTTCTACACAATAATTTAGCGTTCCTTATTGTTTAAAGTAATGATTCATATACATGTCTGTGTGTGCGTTACCTCCCCCCTGCCCTTTCACCCCCACCCAAAAATAGTTAATCTACCCATCAGGTTTATTTGCACAGTTCCTTATTCTCTTTGAAACCAATGTCTATAAAGGTCCTTCTGGGTCACTAGATCCAGCCCCCCTCAGTGCAAGCAGTGTGTAAAGCGATCAAGCTCTGCTCGCACAGCCTTTAAAGATTGGTGAGCCTGCTGCAAGCCAAAACTGCCAACACATCCCAGCTTTTTCAGGTCAAAGTGAAACAATCTTCAAGGGAAAAAAGGCCCTTCAAAAATGCCTCGTCAGTGTTTTGTCTCTGATGTGTTGTTTGTTGTTTGTTTTTTTTTTTTTTATTTTAATGCTTGAATTCTAGCCCAAACAGAAATGCTTATTCTAATTGTACTGCTGTGTAAGAAACAAGATTTACTAAAATTGATGAGCTTCAGGCGCTGTAGAAATCAGCAGCTAGCCTGCCATTACCATGCATCCCCAGACAGACAGGCTACTTAAAGCCTAAGCTGCATAAGGCAGTTTGCTTGCTTTGTTGTCTGCAGAGGCTGGAGATTGTTTCTAGTGTCCTGTGTATGCCTTAGGCGAGACTTGTTTTATTCTAAGACTTGTCAAATCTTCAGGATTTCGATGTTTCATCCAGAGGTATTGAAAACTTCGTTGCAACTTACTATTTCTTACATACTGATGTGCTGGGTTAATTGCTTCAGGTTTTGGATGTTTTGAAAGGACGTATTAAAGATTAGTGTGGAAGGGACTGGGAAAAATAGGATTTATACTGCTTACATAAATATCTCAAAAGATGATCTCATTCAGCGTTGTAGTGGTAACACTTGCATGTGGGAGCAAGAAGTCAACTGTCTTCCCCTGAAACTGAACTCTGAAAGTGTCTTACAGCATGTAAATTAGTTTATGACATCCAGCCAGAGACTTCAACTTTTCTACTCTCTCTTGTTAGTCTAGGTAGAGCTACCAAGTTAAATTGCTGTTTTGCAGAATGTATAGACTTAACTTTAAAGTTGGAGTTCTGCTGTGTTACATATAGAAAACAGCTAATAGATAAACTCCATACTGCTGTAGTTTTGACTGTGAACGCTTCCAACTTGCAGATCTCTAGTAATTATCAGCACTTTGGATGGACGAATTGCTGCACTGGATCCAGAAAACAGTGGGAGAAAACAGTGGGATCTGGATGTGGGATCAGGTTCTCTTGTGTCATCCAGTCTCAGTAAACCAGAGGTAAGGCTTAATCTCTTTCCTGACCAAATCTTTAAAAACAGAATTTTCTATAATAAAATGAATGCAACTTCCTCCATATTTGATAAATGTTAAATAATGCAGCAAACTTAGTTTGGATAAGGTTTGATAGCTATTCTCAAACTTTTTTTTTGGAGCGCTTACATCATGTTGCCATTTCAAACTAGAGTGTGTCAGCATTTTAGTCTTGCGATTGACGTATGTGATAACTATCAAACCAGATGATGTAACTGAGTTTGGAAATTATATGTGATTGCTGACTGAAAACAAGTTACTTGTAACTTGAAGCAAATGAAAGGATCATCTGCTTTGTATTACTAGAGTATGTTTTGGCAAGTACTGGCTCCCCACCCCTCCCCCCCCCCGAAAAGCAAAAATCCTTGTGACTTAATAAATGAACAAAGAATTGGATTTTTTTTTTTATACTAGATAAGCGGGCTGCCTATGAAATAGAATGTGTTAGCAATGAAATAGTGCACTGAAGGTCACCCTGGAGTACTGAGTGGTAAAGGGTTGCATCACTTCTTGCTGATGAACTGTAAGAAGGAAATCTAAAGAGTTAAATTTCTTGTTTGGTGCTATTTCCACCATCAGTTTGAATAAACTTAGGCTAGAAATTGGAAGGAAGTTTTTTTGCTATTTTTTTTTTCCGGCGTTGAAGAAGTAAGATCCATGAGTCATTCTCTCCTAGAATTAGGAGGAATAAATATCCGAACTAAGAGGTAGTTTGTGGTGATGACAAAGTGCACAGTCCTTCACTGTCATGGATGGTTGGATTTGATGACCAGTCCTACCTATATTGTGCTTTCGCATGACGAGCATCAGAGAATAAACGTTGAATTCGGAGGTATTCAGACTGTATGAGCTTCTTGCCTGTGGTTCTTTGTTGCTGTCTAGTCTACATGGCCTCTGTTTTGGTACAAAGAAGTCTAAGGAAAGATTTGGTCTGTTGCTGTGGTAGCGTAAGTACGAGAGCTAGTAATAACTATCTCAGATTGCAGAAGTAATGTGAATGTTAACTCATGTTTCTGAGAGAGAATTTTATTTACGGATGCAACTTTTTGAGTCTCGTTCAGATATATTTTTGTGTTTAAGATGTATTTTTGTGTTTAAGAAAAAACACTGTGGGAAAGAAGAACTTTCTTAAAAATATGTTCTAGAACAGAATTTAAAAGAATCTGGAAACTGTAAAGAGAACTGTAAAGAACTCTGTAAAGAGGAAGGTGCCAGTTATAAACTGTGTTCCTTCACAAATGTTTTCAATACTAGATACTTAAAATATTGTTATCTGTTGCTGCGAATAGTTTCTGATGACCACTGTGAAAATAGAACAACCAGTTATAAAAAACACATTTGAAATATGTGTAAATATAAACTTCATTTTTCAGTACAAATTAAGACATGAGCCCAGGTTTTTAAAGATTTCAGAAATGCAAGCATTTAGTACTATAGAAGTGTTTTTGCAAATCTAGATTTTGACGCTCAACTGATCTGTCCAGAGTTTTAATCTTTCTCCAATGTGGTATGACTGTAGAAACTAAAGGTTGGTGCTTAGGCCACAAAAATTGTAGTTTGTCCATGCAATATTTAATTCTCTTTCGTGGCTACAAGTTAGTAGGTTGTGGGAGTCATAAAAATACACTTTTAAAGACCGTTTGTTATGCGTAGAGGAAGTTTTCAGATGGGCTTTCAAATTGTTGCATTTCTACTGTGGCCAAAGACACTGATGGATTTTGGCAGTTAAGATGCAGAGCCTATGAGAGAACTAATTTTGGAAGTAAAACTTCATTCTGGCCGTTAAGCGTTATGAATATAGGCCTTTTTAGACTTACTGTCATGTAAACAAATGCTGTTAAGATAAGACAGAATTTAAAAAGAAAAAAAAGTGATGAATACTCCAAATAAGTTACATTTAAACACTTAAATGTTTATTTGGAACACTTAAATAATTATTTTAAACATTTAAATGTTTATATGTTTAATTTGCTGTCAGTATCAGCTGAAAGACTTCATGCAGTGAATCTAGACACTACTTGAGTGAGTAATTGGCCTCATTAAAGTGTTGGGACAATTCTGGTTTGGGTCAAAATATTAAATTCATTAAAATCTCAGTGTCTGTTATCTCATCACTCTTCAGTATTTCCTCCCTGATTTGGGCATGTGCCATGTTAAGTTTTAGTTTCTCAAACTAACTATTGAGGCTTTTTCTTCCTCTTCCAACATTTTAGAGGTAAAAAAGGTCTCTGTGCTTGCAACCACAATATTATCTTCATCTAAACTATCATTATGTAAGCTGTTAACCTGCATCTTCTTGGAAGCAATGGCAGATGAGAAACTCTTTTTGCGTTACACTTGCAGTGTTAAAGATTTGTGTTCTTTCAGAGTGAGGAAAGTGTGTGCTGCTGTGTCTTAATTGTTTTGATGAATGTTTTTTTTTTAACTATCTTGGGTGAGAGTGCAATGAACTGTAGTTCCAGGTCCTGGTGCGAAAGCATCAATTTAGTTTCCAAGTGTCTTTTAAGAAAAGACATTAGATCTTCAAATTTCAGTGTTTAATAGAATAGTAGTTACTTCCTTTGCCTAACTGTAAAATGTCAGCTTGGCTGTCTGGAGCTCATGTGTTAATTAGGAAAGTGAGGTAGTAAAATTTCAAATGTTCCAGCAGCTCTGTCAAACACTTCAGATCTTGAAACTACTGCTTAAGACACTGACAAGTGAGATGTTCATCATTTGTCATGTGAACAGATCAGTTAGAAAGGAAAGGCTGCTGAACTACTAATTGTGTGTCTAGGTAACTAAAATGGTAAAATTCATTCCTTGGCTCTAAGCTCCAACATAAACAATCATGGTCAGGGTGCCAATGCTGAAAAGTTATGACTCTGCATTTCAGTCTCGTGCATAAGAATTTAAAAACTTTGTTTCCCTATCCATTGTGTTAAAATTAAAAGCCCTTCTCTATAAAAGCTGTATGTTTACCACTCCAAGATTTCTTGTTACTTGCACATGAAGATCGCTTGTTAAAGTTCAGGGTAAAATCTCAACTTTTCTAAAAGGGAACTTACTTTTCATTAAAACACTTTCATTCTTTAAAATTTAGCTTTGTAATGAATACATCGTCTGTACTTAGAAGAAAATACTTTTGGGAGAATCAACCTGTTAAAATAATGATGCTTAATCATAGTGAAAATAGAGAACTGCCTCTCAAGCAGTGGAAATGGTTCATAGCACATCATTATGAGACTGTTGTTTACTAACGAGGGTGACCTGTCCTCTTACCTGCATAGCTTTATACTGAATTACTTAATGGGCTTCTGTCTGTCTTTTATGAGGATCTATTATATGAGAGAAATGCAAGTGTGAACTTGCCTGTATATTAAAATGACTGGCCAGCAGTGGCTAGCGTAACTGATGGGACAGGGGGAGGCTGGAGAATAGGTGGAGACAGAAGAAAGCCTACTATGGGATGGATAAACAGTGGAGGTACTCCTGTGAAAAAGCTGGTAGCTGATGTTTGATGAGAAAGGGGAAGATAAGTGGGATACTTGATGGTGATGATGTGAGAGTAACAGCTTAAAAATACATTCACGACTGTGACACGATTTTTCTTTGCACTGTCGGGAATGCTCTAGGGAGTTCAGCCTGATGGGGCAGCTCCAGTCGTAGTAGTTTCAGTGCTCTGGGCAGAGGCTGCACTGGGAGGTACTCGATAAAAGTAACTGCATCGGCTCATGATTTGGCTGTTACAGACTAATCCCTAAGTAAGCATCTTATTTCCTTATTTGAGAGATTGGGGATCATGGGACAAAATGAGTTTCAGTCCACAAGGATGACATTTATAGCAGTCATGGTAAACATACCACTGTATCCTGGAAAAATGAAATAATTGGGTTATGTCCTGTCATAAAATCTGTCAACATCGTTATCTCTCTAACGGCTCTCAGAATCTTTGAATTGCATTGTATATATATTAAGTTCTTGCCATTTTTTTCATGTGATAGCCACATAAAATAAACTTTTCTACAAACTTAGACATCTGTGTGATCTTTTTTGGACATAAAAGTGGCATATTTTTGTGGAATAGCCCAGTACTGTATTTTTTTTCTCCACAGAATAGTGGAGATGCAAAGAAGTTTTATACTGAAATCAGCTGAAAACTAATTGCCTTGTAGGCAAAGTGAACCCATAGATATCTTTAGCAGGTTGTTCCTTTTTTGCCCTTTGGAGAGGACAGACTGATGTTTAGAGCAGTGAGTTGAGAAAGGATTTTGAAATCTCCAAAGCTCCACTAGTGACAAGATTTAATGTACGGTATGAATATACCTTTCTTCTTTTTCTTTTTTCCTTCCCTTTATCAGCATAATAAACACTTTCAAGTTTTCAGTGCTTTGATTCCCCAAAAGAAACACTAAGTTCTGCTGTGAAGTGTCCAGGCACCTGGGAATCACTTTAAGGTACTGACTGCCTGTGCTTCCCAGCACATTGGGTAAGGTGGCCTCTGTACCCAGAGAAGAGCCAAAAGCTGTCCTGGGTTGCTTTGGGAACATGGGATGAAATTCAGCAACTCTCATCCTTGGGCCTCTCACACTTTGGTACAGAAGAAATTGCAAAACCCACGCTGAAGCGGGTCAGGGCAAGACAAGAGGTCAAAACGCTCTCTGAGGGGCTTGAATTGTGATTCCTGGATTCTTTTATGTGTGCTCCCAGAGGTTAGAGGAGGGTAAATAATTTAACCTTCTCTTTGAAAGAGAAATCTTGTGACATCAGTTTTAGGAGAGTCACACCCACCACTTAAGGCACCCCTGCAGCAGCATTTTATTAGCCTGAATAAAAATGAGGGTTTTGTTTGGTCCATGGCTTTCTACTTTAGTTGTTTTTCAGTTAGGTCACTGCCTGTAAATATCATCCAACAAAAAGCTGAGATAGGTTTGTTTTAGGCATGGGTGAGGAATCCTTAAGTCAGTCAGTCAGACTTCTTTGAGTAC